CACCTCTCTGCTACAATGCAGAGCTCTCTGAAGACGGCAGACCTCGGCACTCCACAGCCCAGCTTCCAAGGGCCGCCTGCCATGCACAACTCTCAAGCTCCTCTCACCTGGAAGGGTGCCTCTTGCCTGATTAACAAGGGAAACAGGACCAACTGGATTCCCTGCTAACGGACAGCTATCTTGTGCTGTGCGCGTTTACTAACAACGGCAAATAGAGGGACTGCAAAATCATTTTCATCAGTTGCAAATTCTCTTATAGAGTTCGTCACTGGACTAAGTCAAACTTTATATACAGCCATAAGCAATCCTTAAGGAAACCTTACCATCAGAATTTCACTGTAGAGTACATATTCATGTAAAATCGGCAGCAGATTTTCTGAGAGCCCTGACATTCGCTTCTCTGTAGCCTTGCAACACTTATCGATGCAGCTGGCAACACCTTTTAGGGAATCTGCTATATCTTCTTCCGATGCTGACCAGAGTGTGTGGATGGGGCCATATTCCTTCATTTCATTAAGATACTCTTAACAGGAACATATACACATATTAGTCTTTTGTTCATTAATAGATATCTAAGTGATACTAATTGTAACCTCGTATTTACTATGAACAAAGCAAGAGACAGAGGTAACATTTAAATTTGCTCAAATGACCAAGATAAGTAAACTGCAGTTCATTGTTTATGAATAAACTAATCAATGAATGCATTGCAATTACGTAGTTCCTAGAACCCTATCAGCAAAACTGCCCAGGTCATTTTAAAAAGACATATAACGCTCTTGTACCTGATGTGTTGTATTCAGTTCACCCAATGATCTGAATTACTTCACATTGTCTTCATACAGAGGGACAGGAGTCACGGCAGCCCCAGGCAGCTGTCAGCCTGACTTGCTTCTACTGCCCTGAATTCTTCTGCTACAGTAACCTCCAAATCCCGTTCTTAAAACTAGCAGCCTTGGTATGTCCCAAAAGCTACAGAAGGCAACTGAAGTTCACTCCAGTTCTGCAGGTGTTATCTACTTTAGTAGTTTTGTTAATCTAAATACATGGCTATCCTATGAATTATTTCTTTTATGTCTCTAGACCAATGATAATCCGTAAGCAGAAAGAAAAAGGTCCAGAATTCACTGTGCCATTTGGTAGGACTAAACTTAGGCAAGGCTGGATATGACCTGGAAGCTGTGTCACAGGAGTATACTGTGAACACATTGGTCATGTACTGAAAACACAGTTTCATCACACCTGAATTTATAATGAAGAAATGTCCAAAAGATGCAAAGCAGACCTGTGCCATGAATAGTGTAATGTTTACTTTGAGATTAACTGGACAAAAAAAACCTCCATGGAAGATGTAATTAAGAATCCCATGTTAAGCAACTGCAAGCAGGAAT